TGTTTAAGAATCCACTAGGATTGTAATAGAATTTAAGAATCCACTAGGAGTGTCAAAAATTTTTATTTTTCTATACAAAGTAGTGAAAAAATATGTAATTTAATAATGATATTAACTTTTTTAAGAAATAATAAAATTTAAATTATAATATTGATTGTTGTAAATTAAAATTATTATCTTAATTAATTATTATATTTGACAAAAAAAATTTGAACTTCAGAAACAAAATGTTGTAAAAAATAAAAATATATGTATTATATTTAACATTTTTCCAAAGTTTAAGGGGCAGCTTGTCAAACCACTAGAAAGAATTTTGTTAGTCAGTTAATGGAATATTTTTCAAGTAGACCATTTTGAAACAAAATTGATAGTTTATTGATCATTTTGAAAAAAAACATTGTTTCTAGACTAAACTAAAATAGACCATTTATTGAATTTAGCCATTAAAAATTATGAGGAAAATTATTTTAAAATTATGTCATTTCAATAAAGTATCATGAGAAAGGACCAAAAATAGTCTAATTCATGTTTTAAAAAAAGGGTGTTTTAGCCTTTTCACAATGAAAGTTCATTAAAATGACATAATTTTTTAAAGGTAAAGTGGGTGAACACTATTCCTATATATATATTATACAAATTTTGAAAGCCTAATTTGTCTATGATTTTGATTTAGAAAATGTTACAGTTACAAGGTTACGTGGTATTGCAAATGTGTAACATAATGTGTCATTATATAATTAACTCTTTTTATTTAGGAGTCCACTCATGCTAGTGTATGTATCCCTTCATTTAATATCATCTCATACTTATTTAATGTTATGTCACGTCATGATTTTAAAATTATAATTTTATATGGCGTTGTAGCTATTTACACCTAAAATAAAAAATCAATAGGAGAATGTCACGTGTCAAATTAGAGCCTAGTCGTTGGTTTGATATATGCCCAGTTAGTGGGCTTCGGTGCTAGTCTGGAGCCAGTGGTGAATGGTGAGTTGGTGCCACATGGCAAGGGGGGTAAAGTATATCTCTAAATTAGTTGTGTTTAATTCAAATTAGGAAGTTGAGGTTTAAATGGAAGAAGATCACATTGGAGAGTGTTTGAGTTGGAGTAGGAAACTATATGGAAAGTGGTGCAAAAAACATGGGAAACACCTACAACATAATTTCAAGTTTACAATTTGAAATCCAATTCTTGTTCATAGCTTTAGTTTTAATCATCTATTTTGTTAGAGGATTGCCCTGAGTAAGAACTTCCAGAACCAAGCAAATCTGCAACATGTTTTTCAAAATCAAAGCTTTGAGACCGGATCTTACTTTGTTTCTTATTTAGATTTCATAGGTTTATTCTAGTTTACTTAGTTTTTGCTATTAAAGACCTGTTCTCATTCTTTTTATTCTTACTCTATGTATGTTCTTAGCCTTTTATGTTCTTCTCGTGAACTCAGTCTATAAATCTATATTAAATTCCAATATGATATTGTGGTTGATTTGAGTTTTACAATTGTTTTCAAAATTATGTTAATGAAATCATGTTTCCTTATACTTCAAAATTCCTATTTACTTTTTTCTTCTATATGTTTCTATTGTCTGATTTGCAAGTAGAATAATTTCGTTTGTAACGTAGCATTTCTTGTATGTTTGCAAATTTATTTTTAATCTACAACTATAATTCATTAGTTTGCGCAATTTTTAGTTAATATGTAGGTTTGTCATCTCCTTTTGTAATACCCCAAAATTTTATGATATTTTAGCATTAAGTTAAGGACTAAATTGTGGAAGAATATTGTTTTGGGCTTAATAGCCAAAATTTTCAAAGTTGAAGGACTTAAGAGTAGAAATTTGGATAAGGATCCACTATATTTTTTCCTTCTTTCTTATTCCTCACCCGCGTGTCTGCTCTTCTTTTCTTCTCCTTTGCAGCCGAACAAAGCCCCAAGCTGCCGACAGCCCTCCCTTGAAGAAAAACCGGTAAAAGCTTGGGAATTTCTCCTTCTTTTCTTGCTCTAGAACACAAATTGAACTCAGAAATTCTCCCCCTTCTCTGCAGAAATCCGGATCTCCTTTGCTCTGTCCGTCCGGTTGCTGCTCTTGTCGGTTTGTGGGTGCGAATTCTGGGCATTTTTAGGTAAGAAACAGCCATGATTTCATCCTTTTAGCTTTGATTTAAGTTGGGATCCTTTAATTTTGGGTTAATCCCGTGAGTTTCCTGCAGAAATTCCCCCTGCACTGCCGCCGGCTTCCCCTAGCTTGCAGCTCCGGTTTTTGCTGCTAAATTCTGGTATGTTGACAGCTCCTCCAAGCCCAAAATTTCATCAATTAATTGCTGAATTTGTCCATTTAATTCCTGCCCCATGTGCTGTCCGAATTTGTTGAAAAATGGGGATGAATTTGGGTAGTAATTAGAGCATAATTAAGCTTAATTCATGTGTAAATTGCTTGAGTTGGCTGCTGTGATTTTTGGAGAAAATCCCATGAGATTAGTTATGGTTTTGTCAAATTATGGAACTGCAGTTACTGTTTATGGTACTGTTCACGGCACTGTTCACAGATTACTATTCACGCACTAATGGCCAATGATAGGAAGGTTTAAATGTTTAGTTTGTAATATAAGAACAAATTTGGAGATATCTGATAATGTGGAGATTGATAGGAATAGTATTGTGATTAGGGGGTAGTCATGGTGATTTTACTTTTGAATTCGTGGTACGGTAATTAATTTTTGGATATTTTGATTAGGTTCCTGATGGTTTTGTCAGTTTAGCACTGAGATCGAGTCTTCGATTTTATGAGAGTGAGGTAAGTAAATTTATGGTAATGCCCGTACAGTTTTTAAAAGCATGTTTTGATTTGTTTTTGAAGTGGTGGCGGGACTAAACCCATTTTATACAGAAGTAAGTATGACTGATTTGAAGTGAAATTTTATGCTTTTCATTAAATTGAGCATGCCTACTTGAAATTTAATTGATTGTCCTGATGATTTGAAAGTGATTGGTGAATTATGATTTTTCTGTTAACTTCTGTTTGTTTTGTCTCCGATGTGGTTATGTTATTAATGATCCTACTAGTGGGGGTTAAATGCTAGCACATGTCGACATGTTATTGATAGAACTGGTTTGTACGAGTGACCCTGCTAGTGGGGATTATACACCAGCAAATAGTGTAGCCTGCTAGTGGGAGGTTCATAACACTGGCCATGACCTATAGAGGAGACGTTTATTTCGTTCCCGTATTGTATCCGTTTTTCGTGATTACACTTGTTGGCATGCTATAAGTTTAATTAAGGGCACTCCATATTTTACTTACTGAGTTTATCTCATAGTTTTCCCTTGTCCACCATTTCAGAAAGTGAAACCGATGATGGGGAAACCACAGGAAGTGACAAGTCAGAAGGCTAGCCATTTCGAGATTGATATAGATTTTAGAAATAAATCATGCTTTTGTAAGATAGATTTTACCTTGAATTTATAAGATCAAAACAGATTTCGGTCATTAGATCAACTACTTGGATTTAAGTCATTTTGGATATAGAAATAAATTGAGATGTTTGATTTAAGTTATTGGATTGTCAGATGTGAATTGGATAAGTTTCGAGCCTTGTGCATTTGTGGGATCCTCTCACAAGTGCACGGCGTCTGTCGCGCCTCGAATTTGAGTTTTGGGGTGTGACACCTTTAGTATAGTTTACATTTTAGGTATGTTTTATATCACTCTTTAGCTTTCATCTTTGTTCTAATTGTTATGCCTTTAGTTTCCTTTTAGTTGTCTACATTTGTCTTTCTTACCAATAAACACACTTGATTAACCCTTGATGTAGGAAATCCCTGATGATTTTTCAGGGCATTATTTTTAACCTATTTGTACAGGAAAGCATCCTTCCTTCTTGCCAATTGTTTGGTTTAAAGCATATCTCTTTATTAAATTGATGCTCCTCCAACCATCTAATTTGGAGGTTGACTAATTGAAAGAAGAGAGCAATCAAGAAAGTCCTTTTTACTTTTGCTACAAAACAAGTGGCACAGCCCTTATTTATTTGTTCTATGTATGGGAAGGTTATCGATGCTAATTGAGCAGAAAATGTAGAGTGAAGGTTGGAAAGGTGTCAAGGCTTTTAAGGGTGGCCCATTCATATTACATCTAAAAAACACAAATGATTTGTTGTTCCTAGGCAAAGCCATGGAAACTTAGCTAAAAGTCATGGTGGACAATCTACAACTGTTTTATGATGCCTTAGGATAGAAGGTAAACAAAGCCAAGTCACCTATCTTTCTATCCCCTAATGTTCCCACAACTAAGCATAAGCAACTAAGCAACACCTGCCAGATACCTTTTAAAATTGATATGAGGAAGTACCTAGGTATCAGGCTAGAGCAAGGAAAAGTCATGAAAAGTTAAAAGAAGAGAGTTGTCAAGAAAGTTCTTTTCTTGCTTTTGCTACAAAACAAGTGATACGCCTAAGCACCTTTGCTATGCCACAACTAAAGGGAGGAGTTTTAGGAAAACAATAATTATAGCCACTACAAGAAATTGCTTATATTTAAACCGATACAATTCAAACCGATTAATTTTGGTTTGAAAATGTATTAATTCGAACCGTTATTAGTCTAAATATTTATTGATCAGGAATGAGCAGTTAGTTTATTAGGAACCTTCTATTGTCGGTCCAAAAATTGTTGGTGGCAAAACAGTAAAAATGCGCCAAAAATTTTCAGACCAATAATGGTTTGAATAGTGTCATTAAAAAATAATTTTCCAAACAATTAAAATGATGTTTTTTGTTGGATATTTTCAGACCGAAACTGGTCTGAAAATTACAAGGTAATTTTTTAACTAAAATAATATTTAAATGCAAGATTTTTTTATTTAAATTCTGGGCCACTATATTCGGACTATTGACAGTTTGAATAAGTGACCACTAACAATTCGAATAACTTATTCAAACTGTCAGTAGTCCGAATATGAAGTCCCTTTTTTTTCCTTTCAATGTTTTATGTTTATTTAAGAACTTTATTCTTTGTTTATTATTTCAATTATTATATTATTTACTAGTTTATATTGCTATCATTACGTTTATTCTATTTTGCATGTCATAATTATAATTATTTTATTTTATATATTAATCTTAATTTATTAAATACTATAATTACATTATGTGTATTGTGCTTTTTTTATAATTTGGTTGATATTTTCTACTTTATAATTACATAATTATATTTATTTTATTTAAAATATTAATTTTGATCTATTAAAAACTTTAATTACATACTAATTAAATACTATAATTATTTTACATGTATTATCTTTTTTTTTAATTATTTTCAAACTACTACTAGTTTAGAAAAGTTATTTGGACCGATTGTGGTTCGAATATGAATTCCTTTTTCTTTTTTCTTTTTTCTTTTCCCTTCAATGTTTTATGTTTATTTATGAGTTTTATTCTTTATTTATTTTTCAATTATTATGCTATTGTAAGTTTATATTGCTATTATTATGTTCATTTTATTTAGCATATTAATATTAATTTATTAAATACTATAATTATAT